ATATATATATATATATATATATATATATATATATATACAAGTGTAAATGTTCTTTTACACTTGAAAATTTCTTCTACACTGTACATTTGTATTAAAAATGCGTTTTTAGTTAAAAAAAAATAAATAAGTCTTGATGATTGCGTGATTTAAGGAATTTAATTTTGATTTAATAAAGCATTCTGTATCTTTTTTAGACAAAAAATTTATTGGACGCGAAAAAGACGTTCAAAAGACATTTAGAATTTAAATGGGACGGACAGACGCTAATTGAACAACTAAAGGACGTTTTTTTTACGTCCCGTGCCCACAGGTTACTCATTATCATTTTATCAAATATCAAATTTTATCACAAAAAAAATTTAGCACTAAAAAGACTTAAATAACTTTCTAGTTTTTTTTGGTTTTCCAATGTATATTTGTTTTTGTTAACATATTTAAAGAAAATATTTTTAAAGAACCAGTTATAATATAATACAATATAAACTCCGTCGGCGCCTAGGTAAAACACGTTAAAAAAAACATTTATTCAGATTAAAAAAAAAAAAAGTACTAAGTTTATTTAAAAAAAAAACTTTTAGATTTTAAAAGTGCGACAGAGCATTCAAATACAACATTTCGTAACTATTTAACCATAGCTAATCAGAAAGCGAGCAAAAACTTATATATTGCATTTTAAAAAAACTAGCTTAAAGCTTCAACTGAAAACAACTAACACAAATTTAAAAAAAAAAAAAATTTGCATGACAAGTATGTTATAAATTCTTTCCCAAAGCGAAGTTTTTATAATATAATAACTTCGTTTTATACTATAATTAAGCAAAGCTATTATAATTTCTTTACCAAATCTTAACTAAGATAAAAAAACTTTCATATTTGATTCTTAAAACATTGTGACTGTATAATGTTTACCAAACAACTGAGATTTAACAGAAAGAAATTATCAAATATTATTTTTTATAAGATTTATTTGATATCTTAAAAGAAATTATCAAATATTATTTTTTATAAGATTTTCCCGTGATGTCAGATTTACTTAGAGACATGGGTTCAAAAGAAAACCGTGTCTGTAAGTTCTCTTTCTGTTACATACTTTGTAAATTTTCAGCTTTTAAGTCGTTTATCTTTGCTATCAAGGTATTTAGAAAACCACTGTGGAATGGAAAGTAATTAACAAATATAAAAACTTATTTAGATTTATTTTTATGAGAGCGCAAAAAATATGTGTATTATTATGTGCATAACATAACAGCATACTGGCTGCGTCGTTACAATACTGGCATACTGCCAGCAACAGCAGAAAGATCATTTTCCAGTCTAAGGAGGCTAAAAACATATCTCCGTTCTACTATGAATCAAAAAAGATTAAACAGCACCATTGTGAGTCATATTCATAAAGGTATTTTGGAAAAAGTTGACATTAAAACTATTTATAAAGAATTTGTGCTGGCAAATGATGAGCGTCAACGATATTTTGGAAAACCGTAGAGTTTGTTTCACGTATTACGAACTTAATAAATTATGTTATATTTAATGTATTACTTTATAATTATATTATTGCAATATTTGATTATGTTTTGCTTAGTTTATAACATTATTAACTTAACAATAATCAAAAGCTATTAAATATTTGTTGAAGGTAAAGTATATAAATCAATAGGAGCGATAAGAGTATTAACATTGCGTGTGAAATATAATTAAATAAATAAATCATTTTTATCCATTTTGCTGTACCATACAAAATTGAGAAATTTTTCCTTTTTAACATATGTTTTCAGGTTCCCCCCCTTCCCCAACTTTAAAACCTTTCTACGCCGCTGTATATATATACATATAAAAAATATGTTTAGACATATATATATATATATATATATATATATATATATATATATATATATATATATATATATATATACATATACATACACACATACATATATATATATATATATATATATATATATATATATATATATATATATATATATATATATATATATATATATATATATATATATATATATATATATATATATATATATATATATATATATGTTTAGACATTTTGGTTTCTAGTTTTGTAATATTGTAACATTTTGTTTGTATATATATATATATATATATATATATATATATATATATATATATATATATATATATATATATATATATATATTATATATATACATATATATATATATATATATATATATGTATATATATATTTATATATATATATATATATATATATATATATATATATATATATATATATATATATATATATATATATATATATATATATATATATATATATATATATGCTATAGCGAGACAGGCTATTGTTAATATAGTGTGAACACAAAATTAGATCACTGAAAAAAAATGACGCAAAAAACCTATAAATTAATGTTGCAAAAACATTTTTGAAGGAATAACTTTCAAAATGTGTCAAAACGTTAAAACTAATGCGTTTTACTTAAAAAATGCAAAATGTATATAT